CGCCACACTCTGCAGATCTTCAAAAGAGTACTTGAAACACGTCTTTCGAGCGATAATAGTTGTCATTCAATCAGTGCAGATTTTCAAAAGGTGCCGGTGCTGCTGGCGTCATCCATGGGGTACGGATAGTGGTGGAGAAATTAGTAAAAGTAAAGAAAGATACATGGAGTTTCTTAAGTACGCAGAAAGATTTCGACAAGATGCCCAACGATGTCATATGGTGAGCACTGCGAAAGCACATGGTCATTATACATCCAATGGAGAAAAGATCTATCACGGAGCAGCGAGCCATGTGGAAACTGCGGCAGAGTAGTCAAAACCATCTCCCATAAGAACAGGCGTACATCAGGGACCGATGCTCTCTCTTCTACTCCTCATCACAGTCATGGGTGCAGCGATGGAAGGTCTCAAGCGACAGCCTTCGTAGCTTCTCTTATGTAAGAGACATCTTGATGACAGAAAACAGAAAAGAACTTGAAGAAGAGATGCAGGATGGAAGGACTACCCGCACGCTTGACGCTCACCATAAAGAAGGAAGTATAATATGGAAGTGCCAAGTCAAATTCCAATTCAGAAACTACATACATCGATGATGAGCCAATCAAGAGGCGCATCTTTGGCGAAAAAGGACTTCAAGATGAGCTATCGGCCCGGACGAACGCATCCAGCCTTCACAGGAGTTCTGACAAGCGAATGCTGCAACGTGAAGTTCGAATCGTGCTATTCGTCCAACCGCTGTATGGCGGTGAATGTTGGCAAGTACACGAAACGAAGTACAGAAGCCAGTGTCATGGAATAAGAATGTTGCGGTGGACATATAACCTTATATAGCCTTCCTGAGTCATGTCTGCAATGACGCAGTTGAAGCTAGGATGAAGGATGATTGCTCCCATCGCCAAGAAGACGCAGAAAAACGACTGCGATGGTACGAGCATAGTAGAAGAGGTGAGACAATCTTAAGAGTACAATTTGGAGGTCGCTGGAAAAAGACCACAGAAAGGCCAAAGATGAGGTGGATGGACAGAATCAGAGGCTACTTAAGAAAGCTTAAGATATATGAACATCATGCTCGGGAATA